TGTTTATTAAAACCATTGACTTTATACATGGATTAGTTTGTTTGACTTGATACATGGATTAGTTTGTTTGATTTTACTTTCAGATTTGGGGGAGCACTTTTAAAATTCTTGGCTCAATTTTGTTTTATAATTAATCAGATATTTACAATTTCATATTAAAAATCTGGAAAATAAGATAAATTTGGAAAATGTGGCTTCTATCCTTCCTTCTGCCCTCTTTTTTTCTTTCCCACGGATGAATAATTCAGTTAGCTTTTGATTGATATCTTTTTTTTTTTTAAACGGAACTAAACGTATGTGTCTATGTTTTTGTTTCCTTTGTTAGATAAATACATGCATACTATTCACACTGTTCAGCACCCAGCTTTTTTCATTTAATATTTCCTGGATATCATACCATAATAGTATGTAAAAATTCCTTATTAGGATCTGTTTTTTATCTGGCATGGGATTACCGTACCATGTGTGTAATGTAAATTCAGACCTCAAACCCATCTTCAGGTTTTGCTCTTTCATGGGAAACTTTTTTCCTACATAGAGCTTTTGGCAGAGAGCCAGCTTCCTTGCTTCTCTTCTGGGCTTGTGAGCAGAGATTTTGTTTTTGTTTTTAATACCCTTTTTTATTGAATAAGCAGTCTTTTGATTATCTGAACTTTTTACTTGGGTATCCCAGTTATTTCATTCTAACCCCTACTTGGGTGGGCCCTATACCATGTATTCTGTCACTACATATGGACCTTAAAACCTCAGCTACTGGCTCTTACACTGTTTCTACTCTGTACTTCTCTAAGTTGTCGTGCTCTCAGCTTTGACTCTTGTTAACTCTGGCTTTGAGTTCTCTCTGTTTTTGGAGCCTGGACATTTCTGAGCTATGTATTAATTTTTTTGGTTCTATTTTTTCCACCATTGGGTGTGTGTGTGTGTGTGTGTGTGTGTGTGTTTGGAGCAGGAGAAATTCACTTTGTCATGTTCCCAGAAGTAGATGGACAGCATTTATTTTCTGTCACTCATGTCTGTCATCCCTTTTTTGTAACTAACTGGCTGAAGGAATAACAAGCACAATTCACAAATATGAAACAAGTTTTTACAACATATCTTATGACTAACATTATGGCATTTCCTACCAAACCGTCCCCCCTTTTTCTTGCCTGAAAATATTATTGATCTTTATTATAGGTGCTTTTTAGTACATTCTCTTCCTTTTTCTCTTCTCTCTCTTACTTGTTTTCCTCTTTCTTCATCTCCCTCTAAATTAAAGAAAAATCTTTGTTGAGAATCCAGGTCAACTAATCTTAGTGCTTTTTTCAAAAGGGCAATAAGTTAAGTCATAAGCTTTTATGCAACATTATGGTGAATATAAATTCTTTTTAGTAAAATAGGAAAAAAATTACCTAAGTATAATTTGTGCTCAAGTACAGATTCTTGATTCAGGGTATTTTTTAAGTCACTGAAGAGGCTTTATCCAATGACATTCATTCCTGTTTGATTTTATATCTTTGTTTCACTTGTGCACTAACTTGTGTCCTCCCTGTTGCTTTCTTTTATATTCCTTTATTTGCAGTGCAGGTGTTTCATTAAAACTGTGTCAGATAATGGAATGCCACAGAGGAACTTTTCTATTTCATACATTCACCTAGATATTTTGCTGTACATTTTTGCAAATTAAAATATAGAGGCAATATTAATATGCAGTAAACAGCTTAGAAATGTACAAGTCATTCAGATCGCTTAAAGAGGTTTGTAGCTTTCAGAGAAATTCTCCTTTGGAGATGACATATTTACTTAGAACTTTGACTAGACGTAGGAATTTTGCAAAAGTATTGGAAAAATTGTTTCTACCATTTTTGAGTTTCTTGTGATAAAAATAATAGTAATTTCATTCCTACTTGTTTTTGTTAGCTTTTAACTCCTATTATGTATAATGTTTTAACCAGAGTGAAAAATAATGCAAGAAAGACTTAAATCTTTCTTTAAACTACTTTAAGTGGCTCTAAGGAAAGTTAACTTTCAGGGTATCTTAAAAGATATTATCCTTATGGGTTTTTTTGTTGTTGTTGTTGTAAGGCTTATTCGTAAAGAAACTTTAAATCATAATACTTCTTCAATTCTTTTTGAAAAGAATGCTTAGAAAATCCAGTGGAAAAATGGCATATGGTATTTAAACCTGTGCATTGATCAGCAAATATAAAAGTGCAACGTTTTCTAACTGACCCTTGATTCAAATTATACGAAATCATGCAGTGTATACATTTGCTGACATGTTTAGTGAAAACATGAGGAATATGAGAGAGCTAATAAGAATCTTAACTTTTTTTTTGGTATTTCAGGCTTGGCATTTGTTTTCATTTTCTTCATATAATCATTATGTCATTTGTATCAAGGTTTTATCAACTTAGATTTATAAATATGTATTACATTAAATGTATTTTAGTATTTACATTTGAATATGAATTCATATGTGGGGACAATAAAACACACACCAAATAATAAGTAAAAATGATTCAACAAGATAACAATCCAAAGTCTTGTAGTTGTCACTGTTCCACAGTGATGTGGAATGAAGAAAAAAATTTCCATTTTCCATCTAATTAAATTTACCAAAGCAGTATCTTTCAGTCACGTGTTTAAAACAAGAGTATGTCTTTTCTCAGAACCTGTAAACCAGCTAGTTGAAAGATTGACAGCTCTGTGAAGAGGACACAACCTTATATTTGGTTTCAGGCAGCCAGAGTTTTAATTACAGCTCTGGTGATGAGAATGGGGTTTCACACAGCAACCTAAACAGATAGCGTCATAACTCCATTGCTATCCATGTTGCTTCCTGCTTCAGCATTTTTCATATATGTCCTACACATTGGATTAATAGAAACTCAACCAAAAAACTTGGTTTTGAGTTACCTGATATCTATCAGTCTGGTAATGACTACTATGAATCACTGAAACATGTGGAAGAATTGTATCTTTCAAAAAAAGTACTGAATATATTACAAAAATTTAGGAAAGAGCTACATTTTAGAAGTACACTAATTTGGACAGAATATTTCAGAGTCATTGGGTTTCTTCTCATGTAATTTTTTCTGTATGTAAGTTGCCTTACTAAAAATTGGCACCATTGGGGCGCCTGGGTGGCTCAGTGGGTTAAGCCGCTGCCTTCAGCTCAGGTCATGATCTCAGGGTCCTGGGATCGAGCCCCACATCGGGCTCTCTGCTTGACAGGGAGCCTGTTTCCTTCTCTCTTTCTGTCTCTGCCTGCCTCTCTGTCTACTTATGATCTCTCTCTGTCAAATAAATAAATAAAATCATAAAAAAAATTGGCACCATTTAATGAAGCTATGTGTATTCACAGTAAAGAGGAAGCTAAAGCAAACACTTAGAAAGTGACCTATGTACATGCATACTGCATATCCTTCTTCTGGCGAGGAAGTGACTGTCTCTGTCATGCATTTAGGGATCTTGAATCCTTATAAAAAAGGGATCAAAATCAGGAGAAAAGTTGTTGTGCTTTGAGATACCTAAGATGAATACTCACTTAATACAAAAAGAAGAGTATCACGAAAATCACGGTGTGTAACTTAAGAGTGCCTGGGAGCAATTATTTATATGACAAAGCCAGAAAGACATTAAAAAAAACCTTGTAGGGGTGCCTGGGTGGCTCAGTGGGTTAAGCATCTGCCTTCAGCTCAGGTCATGATCCCCAGGTACTGGGCTCCCTGCTCAGTGTAGAGCCTGCTCCTCCTTCTCTCTTTGCCACTCCCCCTCCTTATGCCTGCACACTCTCTTTCTCTCAAATAAATAAAATCTTAAAAAAAAAAAAAAACCTTATATTTCCATTTTCAACTCATGAACAAATGAATGTAGCAAATATGTTTATCTTTATTTTATTTAAAGATTTTATTTAGGGGTAGGGGAGAAGGGCAGAGGCCGAGAGAAAAGCAGACTCACCACTGATCAGAGAGCCTGTTGCTGGGGCTTGATTCCAGGACTCTGGGATCATGACCTAAGCTGAAGGCAAAGGCTTAACCCACTGAGCCACCTGGGTGCTCCAACATGTTTCTTTTAAATATAATGCATATATTAAGAGGATGCTGTACTATTTTTATATAGTCAAGGTAGAGAGACATAGTAGAGAAAGAAGGGAAAGCAGCAGAAGTGCTTGAATAAGAACAATTTTGACAACAATGGGGCTTTTTCCTATAAAGACCAAGACATTCCATGTTCCCATTTATGCTTTTCTGGTTGAATAGACTATTCGGAAAAATATATTTTCCTGGACTCTAAAATTTAAAGGGTGGGCTTAGCTAGCATTGACAACACAGCAATTTCTTTTTTTCACAGACAAGCCTGCTTGATCAAAGCAAGACATAAACAGAATGCTTTGCTAATTTTTTATATAAATACAAAATGAAATGTGAGTTTTGTGTTTATTTCATATTACTGTCTATAAATGAATAAAGGAATTCAAAGTTTCTTTTTGTGTGTTTCACTTTGATTTTATTAACTTTTAGGATACCTAATAATGATATTTAGAAAAGAGATACTTAATCTTGGAGAAATAATTCATTTTTTTCAGCATGAGGATATTGAATTTTTTTATGTTCAGATCATAGTCATGTTGTTAGCAATAATACAGTTTATCTTCTATAACAATTTTGAGAAATGTATGCTGTATTTGGTTTATAGTGCCCCAAAACATTCTTTTTTTTTTAAATTTTAATTTAACTTTTAGTTAACATACAGTGTACTATAGTTTCAGGTTTATGATGAAGTGATTCAATACTTCTATGTATCACCTGTTGCTCATCACAACAAGTGTATTCTTTATTTTTTTTTATTTTTTTAAAGATTTTATTTATTTATTTGCAAGAGAGAGAGAGATCACAAGCAGGCAGGCAGAGAGAGAGGAAGAAGCAGGCTCCCCGCTCAGCAGAGAGCCCGATGCGGGGTTCGATCCCAGGACCCCGAGATCATGACCTGAGCTGAAGGCAGAGGCTTAGCCCTCTGAGCCACCCAGGTGCCCCACAAGTGTATTCTTTAATTCCCATTACCAATTTAACCAATTCCTCCAGCCACCTCCCTTTTGGTAACCATTAGTTCTCTATAGTTAGAAGTCCGTTTCTTGGTTTGCCTTTCTTTCTCTCTCTTTTTTCCCCTTTTGCTTGTTCATTTTGTTTCTTAAATTCCACATAAGAATGAAATCACATGGTATTTGTCTTTCTCTGACTTATTTCACTTACTAGCTTCATCCATGTCATTGCAAATGGCAAGATTTCATTCTTTATTATGGCTGAGTAATATTCCAG